ATGTCCACCACTATATTAAATAGTATTGGAGACATTGAGTCACCTTGCCTTAATCCTTTTTTTGTTTGGAAGTATGAGCCAAGCTGGTCATTCACTTTAATGTTTACATTTCCTCCCTGTGTAAACTGTCGCACCCACGAACACCACTTATGCGAGAAGCCCTTCATCCTTAAAGTTTGTTGTAGGAAGTCTCATTTTACTTTGTCATAAGCCTTTTCAAAATCTATTTTAAAGATTACCCCGTCCTGTTTTTTCGAGTGAAGTTCATGGATTGTCTCATGAAGTATCACTGCGCCCTCCATAATGTTTCTTCCTGGAAGAAAGACCGTTTGTGTTGGTCTAATAATCTTCTGGGCAACAGTAGATAGTCTATTTGTCGCAACTTTGGTAAAGATCTTGAAAGAAACATTTAACAAACATATAGGTCTTTATTGTTGAATGACTTTCACATCTTTCTTTTTTGGTAATAAAATTATAGTTCTAAAGTTGAGACTATGCAAAGGCAAGTTTCCCTCATGAAATTCCATAAACAGAGCCATCAGATCTTCTTTTACCATGTCCCAGAAGACCTGATAAAACTCTGGTGGAAAACCATTTGGGCCCGGTGTTTTATTATGTTCCATCTGAAAAATTGCTTCCCTGACCTCAGACTCTGTGAATACATCAGTCAGGTACTCATTTTCCAGTTCAGATACTTGTGGAATATCCTGAACAAGGTGTTCATCTAATTTCATATTAGAGTTATCTGGTGGGCCAAACAGGTTTTTATAATAGTTGGTAATATGCTGCTTTAATTGAGCATCACCATCTATTATAGTGTCACCGTCCTCCAACTGGAAAATACGAGTTTTTCGGTGCCTACCATTAGCCAACAAATGAAAATATTTAGTATTAGCATCCCCTTCCAGTAGGTGCTTAACCTTTGCCCTTTGGTACCATTTAACTTCCTCCTCTCTAAGTAATTCAGCGAGTCTCTCACTTAACACATGTTTCAAATTTAACTCTGTCTCATTCAGCAGGAGGTTCTCTGCCTTCTTATCTAGCTCATCGAGTTTGTCTAGCAGTTCCTTCTTTTCTTTCTTATAAGTGCCACTCACATTTTTCGCCCAGCCTCTGAGGTATTGGCGAAGTCTTCTGATCTTTGCTTGCCACCTCTCTAAGGGACTGCCGTCGATCAGAACATTATGCCACACATCTCGCACCATGTCACAAAATCCATCTCTAAGCAACCATCCGAGTTCAAACTTGAACTGGGGTTGGTAAGTCTGAGATGGGCTATTTGTACTACATAAGAGTGGAGTGTGATTAGAGATCTCTCTATTTAAAGCATGGACGGTTGTAAGCGGATATTTGGATTCAAATTCTGTACAAACTAGAATCCTATCCAACTTCTTAAAGGTCTGATTTTGCAGGTGATTAGCCTAAGTAAATTTTCTTCCTGCCATTTCCAACTCTCTAAGACTTAACGTGTCAATAACAGCATTAAAAAGAAAAGGCCATTTGTCGTTGTAGTTTTCATTATCTTTCTCATCTGGGCTGCGAATAATGTTGAAATCACCACCTATGATAATAGGTACGGTCTCTTTTGAACATACTCTAACCAACTCTGATAAGAAATGTGATTTGAGATCTAACTGAGCTGGGCCATATACTGAGATTAAATTAAACTTGAAGTCATCCTCCTTATGTCGTAATTTGAACCGAATAAAAAAATCTCGTTCTTCTATCTGGCCAATGTCAAAAGTTAAAGGATTTATTCCTAGAATCATACCACCGGACCGACCCCTCGGAGCCATGCAATGCCATAGAAAATCTCTGCCCGCGCAGATATTATTCAAGGTCGATTGCGGAAAATTGGCTCTCCCGGTCTCCGATAATGCAATAAAATCTAAGTCCTTTTCTTTTGTCAAGTCAGATAGGAATCTATATTTTTTCGTATCAACAAACCCTTTGTAATTCCAAAAAATTCCTTTCATCTAGAATGGTGTCTAATTTTTTTGTTATTAAGCTTGGAACTAGATTTTTTGGAATGTGATATAGGGGTCTGTAGACACAAAGGGTCACAACCCCCATCACCTAGGTCTTCAGAAATTTCTACACAAATTAAATTTAAAGCCTCTAGGTCCATGTTTTCTTCTAAGGAACAAACAGTGGAAGTATCGTCCAACATAGCTTTACTTTTTAACTCTAAATTATTGTTTGCTGACATTCTAGCAAATTCAATATCTCTTAAACTTTTCAAAGAAAGAGACACTTCTTGTTCATTAGAGCCAAGAGAGATTCCTAACGAGCTAGTTGTATGCAGCAACATAGAATCATCGAGAATATCAAAAGAGTGTGGCAAAGTCTCATTACCTTTGATTGAAGATGCATTCAAGTTTTTGCGTGCTTTTAACTTCATCGCCTTCTCCAAAGAGTCTTGGTCCGAAGTAGACACGTTTCTCTTACTAGCTCTCACTGGTGACACTGCCGCACCGTTCAAAGTTTTAGACTGCAACAAACTAGCTTTCCACTGTGCCGAACCATCTGGAATCATCCCACATGGAGAGAAGCGGTACTACTGAGCTTGTATGTACTCTTCTCTCCCATCAGAAGCGGATTTTGTAACTTCCAAGTTTGAATCTTTGAGTCTTGCACCTACTGATGAGCCGCCAAATCTCTGCTAGATGCCAGTGACTCCTCGCAAGCTTAGCCGCCATGACCATGCTCTCGGTGGATGCTCTGTCATGACCTTGGACTTGTCTTTGCCCACTTGGTGCAAGCTGAAGCATTGGTCATTTACAGTGCTTTACCAATTTGGATCATCTGTTGTTTTGTTAGCATCATGATCCATATTCTCTGGTTCCTTTTCTTCTGGGGCTTTGTCCTCATCCATGGTAGAGTCCATGTCAATGACCTGGGACTCGCCATCAGGCATATCTTTTTCAACTCTGAATTGTAGCTCATAAACAAAATCCCCAATGACAACATCCACAAGGTCAGGGATGAGGTCAGGATTAAGCACTGCCACTTTCAGTCTGGCTCTTCCATTCTTCTTAGTGAATTTAGTGTCCACTGCACGAGGAACACCCAAAATTGAGCCAATTGCCCAAATGATGGGAAATTCTCGTTGCTCTTTTGGAAGACCCCGGAATTGCACCCATACCTTGTCAATCTCATACTTAAAGACATCATTTTCAGCCCCTTTCTCGAACCGAATCTTTCCTTTCACTGTCTTTGTGTCCATTGGGCCCCAATTCACCATGTGATTAAGCACTTCAGCAGAAGGGAAATTAGTGATAAAGGCATCATTGCCTTTCTCTTCAATCACCCAACTATGTCCATGCAGTAGTTTGTCAAGTTCCACTGCTAACTGGTCAGCAGTAAGAGAACCCTCCAAAACACGTACCACGGCAGACTTGTCATCTGAAGGTAATTTTGGATTTTCAATGACAGGTATAAAATAGAAGCCCAGACCTTCTACAGCATATCCACATGGTGTAGCAGTAGCTTGTAAATTCTTCAAATTTGGACATACTTTTTTAACATGATCACCAAAACAAATCTCGCAACAAAGCACAGCAGTACAAACCGACATCGTATGCCATTTAGTGTGACAACGATAGCAATATGGTTTACCCTTGCTTTTGTGATTCCCTCCCTTTTGGGATGACTCTGGCACATCAATCAAGACTCCTGCAGTGTTTGATCCTGGCGGGGCAGTGTCGGTGTTGAGACTTTTAGGAATTGGCAGCGTTGTCTTAGTCGTGGTCGTCGTCGAAGCAGCCTGGTGCACTGGCCCCGATGATGATGCCGGGTTTGGAGCAGCATGTGCCGGCCCCCTTCCTGGATTGTCGAAGCTGGGGGGGTCCCGTCTGTGCGACGGTGTTCTGGCCACCTGCGTTGATAGGCCCCTGCATCGGTGCTGGTTGGTACCGTGGTCTAGGGTTCCAGCCCCCACGGCCACGTCCGCCTCCGTACCCTCCGCCTTGAGGCCGACCACCACGTCCAGCGCCGAAGTAGCCGGGCCCGGAGCTGTTGTAGCCATAGCCGGCTTGCCCTCCATAGCCTCGTCCTCGTCCACGAGGGTGAAACTGATCGCGGCCGCAACCTCACCCGGCAAACCCTGGGTCGAAACCCGGTTGAAAACCGGGGTTGAAGGCCGCACCCCTGCCACCTCCACGCCCACCGAGATCGCCACCAGAACCCGCTCCCGGGCCGCCATTGATTTTCCTAAAAGAGCTTGGCAAAGCAGTAGGTTCAAGAGGGGACTTGTTCTCATGGCTAGTTGTTATTTTCAGGAAACAAGTAAGAAGCGATGTGCAATGAGAGTTTATAACAACAACAACAAAGTCTTTAAGTCCCAAACAAGTTGGGGTAGGCTAGAGTTGAAACCCAGCAGAAGCAATCAAGGTTCAGGCACGTGAATAGCTGTTTATCTCACGTGCAATGAGAGTTTATATTCCACAATTATCTCATGTGTCGAGAGCTGTTAAAATATGAAAGAATAATACAAAGACAAAACATAGGTCTATAAAGGATCGTCTCATCAATTCTCATTCCACTAGATAGTGAAATGAAGAAAAATGAAAAGAAATTGGAAAAAAATTCAACAGAATAGGACTTCACATGGCAAAGACAGGATCTAGAACTCACATAATCCATTCTCTTTTGTTCAATAAACAAATCACAATATTAGTAGAAACAATCAACATTTTTCCGCTGTGTTTTATTGATACTCTCCTTATTATTTACCAAAGTATAGGATTTTGTTCTCTACAGGAAAGGCTTAGTATTTAATTTGCAATGCTATTTTTGAAATTATATATTTGTACTCGTTCATACCCAGTTGATATGTTCTAAAGTGCTAATATAGCACACACTGGTATGAATATTCCAATTCTATGACCTAACTGATCTCTTATTGCTGATGCAGGATCTTGATGAAGACAAACGATATACTTTGCTGTTAGAATACCCCACAAGATTAATAACCAATCCCTCTTTGGCGGTTCATCAGAATGGAGTGCAACAAGGAAGAAGCTTCAAGAGCTAAGGATTTAGCTGTGGTAAAGCTGCAAGAAGCAGACTATGCTGGTGCTAAAAGGATTGCCCTCAAGGCTCAAAAGCTTTTCCCTGGCCTTGAAAATATTTCTCAGCTGTTAACTGTTTGTGAAGTTCACTGCTGTGCTGCTGTTAAGATCAATGGGGAGACTGACTGGTATGGTATCCTTCAAGTAGAAACAACTGCAGATGACATGTTACTCAAGAAACAATACCGCAAACTTGCTCTCTTACTCCATCCAGATAAGAACAAGTTTGTGGGTGCTGAAGCTGCCTTTAAGCTAATTGGAGAAGCTCACATGATACTGACAGATAAAGTAAACCGTTCGCGTCATGACTCAAAAAGGAACTCAGTTATTCCAAAATCTGCACCAAAGAAGCGTGGACGACCATCAAAGAAAACTGATTATGTTGCTAAGAGGGCCAATAAGGAGAACACTGATGCTGGATATTCAACTTTCTGGACCATTTGCTTGACTTGTGGAACCAAATACCAGTATCCATATAGTTTGTTGATGAAAGTTCTCTGGTGCCAGATCTGCTCAAAGGGTTTCCTTGCTTATGATTTGTCTAAAAAAACTTCTGTCGGAGTGGAAGCATCAAATCCATGGAGTGGATTTGGGGTGCCACACCAAATGTTCCCCCCAAATCAATGGACACACTTTGCCAACCAACAACACAATTACCAGAGTGTCCCTACTCAGCAAAATCCTATCACTGGTCATCAAGCTCCTGTCCCCAACCAGCAACAGCAACCTCGGAATGTCTCTGGTAAGCAAACTCCAGACATTAACCAGCAACAACAATCACAGAAATTCCCTTTCAGTTCAGGGCCAAAGAATGTGGTAAATTCTCATCCATGGGGTGGATCTGGTATGCAACAGGAAATGTGTCCTCCGAGTCAACCCACACGTGTATCTGACCAAAAACTCTACTATCAAAGGGCCCCTTGTCAGCAAAACCCTGTCAATGGTCATCAAACTCCTGTCACTGACCATCAACAGCAATCTCCGAAAGTTGTGGATAAGAATACTTCTGTCACTACCCAGCCACAATCTACAAAACTCCCTTTCAATTCAGGATCAAAGAATGTAGCGAGTTCTCAAGGGGCAGCCTTCCCGAACAATAATGCAACTGCAAACAGTAATCTTATGGCTGAAGCTGGGGCTTGTAATAGAGAAAAGATTACAAGGACATCATTCAATGATGAAAATGGCGAAGATAGAACTAAATCACCAGTTGTGAATTCTGATAAAGTTCATCTAGTAAACGAGCAAATGAAGGGAAAGGAGGTAGCTACAGGATCCAGTCATCCTGTTGCCATAAATGGTAGCCAGGTTGCTACGAAAGATGTTCTTACTGCCGCAAGTGCAGATAAAACATCTGGGCAGCATCCTTGTATAGCAAGCCAGCAGAGAAATAATGTCATTGTTGAAGATGGGTCTGATGGGTGTGGAAAGGTTAGCGATCATCTTCCTGATTCTCCTGCAATGAAAAGGATAAGAAAAGAACATTCTTCCTATACTGGTGGCAAAAGTGATCATACAACAGAAAATGAAGTTGCTGAAACAAACAGCCAACACAAATATAGTATTCCAAGCAAAGAGAAGATGACAAATGAAAAAGAAGAAGCGATCAGTGGCTTAAATCACGATGTGTTGCAAGGAACAAAAAGAAAACAACAAACTGCAAGTTCTGGAAGTGGAAGCGATGCTGCTGCTAGATCTGTGAACAATAGTATTCCCTGCAATGTTACAGTTTCATGTCCAGATTCAGACTTCTACGACTTTGAGAAAAACAGGGATGCAGATCAATTCACAGTTGATCAGATATGGGCAATTTATGATGATCATGATGGCATGCCAAGATACTATGCTCGAATTAAGCAGATTTACTCTCCAAACTTCATGTTGCAGTACACATGGCTAGAGCATGATCCTTTGTGTGATGCTGAGAAGGAATGGTCTTCTAAGGAGCTGCCTGTTGCTTGTGGAAATTTCAGAGTTGGAACAACACACTTGACTGAAGATACCAAGATGTTTTCTCATGTTGTTTCTTGGACAAAAGGAAGGAAGAGGAACAGATATGAGATTTATCCTAAGAAAGGTGAAGTTTGGGCACTTTTCAGGGAATGGGACATCAAGTGGAGTTCAGATTCCGATGATCTTAGGCATTATGATTATGATATTGTTGAAATCACCTCAGACTTTGCTACGGGTTTAGGCACTTATGTGGTTCCCTTGGTAAAGATTAAAGGTTTTGTCAGCTTATTTGTTCGATCAAGCAATGAAGCACCATTTCTGATACCTAGTGGCAACACCCTTAGTTTCTCGCACAGCATCCCTTTTCACAGGTTGGCAGAAACTGAGAGGAAACACATCCCAAATGGTGCTCTTGAGCTGGATACTGCATCACTACCTTCTGATTTGGAGAAAGCGTTTTCTCCTGTGACCCTTGACAGCAATTTTATGAGCACACGAGATGGTAACACTGCATGTAACGTTTCATGTACTAGCTCTTGTAAAGTGCCAGTTGGAAAGACCAAACAGAGTCAGGATGGTACTGGTACAGATGTGAAGGATGAAGTTGAGAAATTGAGTCAGAATACAAAGATTGAACAAGATAATGGCTCAGAAGCTTCAGTGATTGATCATTGTGGTGATGGGTGGAATGATAGCTCTCCACCAGAATCTCCAACTAGTTTTTGTTACCCTGATACAGAGTTTTGCAACTTCACTAGTTTGAGATCATTTGACAAATTCAAGAAAGGGCAAGTTTGGGCACTGTATTGTGATACTGACAAGTTCCCAAAGTACTATGGTTTAATAAAGAGCGTCGATTCAGAAGATTGCAGAATTCACATAAAGTGGCTTGAGCACTGTCCATGTGAACAAGTGGAGAAGCACTTGGCACAAGACGGTTTGTCTATTGGCTGTGGAATATTTGAAGTCAGCAGGCAAAGTGAAATCTATGATTGTACAGAAGTCTTCTCTCACAATATGGAGGTGACGCTGACGGGTAAAGGGAAAAAATATGAAATCCTTCCGTGTACTGGCCAGGTGTGGGCTATATACAAGAACTGGAGCCGTGCATGGAGTTTCGAAGATTACAGTAGATGTGAATATTTTCTGGTCGAGGTCATGGAGATTTCTAATGTTAATATAACAGTGTCATGTCTTACTAAAGTGGAGGGCTTCAGCACAGTATTCATGCCAGAGCAGAAAGGTGAATCCAGGAGTTCCATGAGAATAGCAAGGAGTGACTTCATTATGTTCTCTCATCAGATTCCTGCCTTCCGCTTGACAAATGAAAACAACAATCTTTGTGGTTACTGGGAACTTGATCCTGCATCACTACCAGAAGTTTTACTGGTCAGAAAAACCAAGTGAAACATTGGCGATTTGATAGAGGATTTTGGCACTATGAAAAGTCAAGGTACGGTTTTGACAATGTATCATAAATTTGAATAGAATAGTTTAGCATGATTGAACACGGATATTGTTAACTATTCATTTGTTTTCTCTGCGGTGCGATGTTGACAAAGCTGTGGTACTGGATTGTTTATTTTGATTGTTAACTGTACCTTGTGTCATGTTAACAGGTTAATTCATTAGTTTGCTACTTTATGCCACTATGTTTAAGCCTTTTGCTGGCTGGCTCTCGCTTTAGGTTTCATCTCACCTGTTTGTCTTTGTTACGTGCATTTTGGACATTTTGGTGGCTATAACAGTTGATCGTCGCTATTGTTCGCACCTTACCAGTGCTTGCACACTGGCATTAGATAGCTTAGTTCGCTTGTTGGTTTCAGCTAGGGCTTATCAGCTAGCCAACAGTGTTTTCCTCTCACAACAAACAGGACCAGCCGGGCTTATCAATGAACAGGCCGAGAATTTTGAAACTTTAACAGCATCAACATGTATACATTATGCTCCATATCTCATAACTGGAAACTGAGATATGGGTGTATGGAATTGACTTGTACCGTGCTCTAATTTATCGTTGTGTGCTGCTTGAAGAATCCTGAAATGCCAACCTTCCGTGCGGCTAAGCTAATCGTGAGCGCATGTTTGCTATTAGTATAGTCCTTTTTTGAAATTCTGTTAACTTCGTTGATCTTTCAAAGTTATTATTGTATGTTTACGATTTGCTAGAAACTGAAAGTAGCTTGTTTGTGTATTTTATATGCATGCGTCATCTCTCAAGGCAGTCTAATTTTTATTTAATTCAAATTGTAGTTGCATACACGTCTTCAGTACTTTTGTTCCACTAAGCAATACCCCTTTCCGTCTTGTCAACTTTAATTCCACTTAATTGATACCTCTATCTAAATTGTAAGTTGTTTTAGCTTTTCTAGTTATATATATAACTTTTACTATGCATCTAATCGTGATTGTAATAGAGTAGTTCATTCTTTAGCTGCTCTTGGCTGTAAACTACCAAGTGCCAGCTATAACACTTGGGAGGGAGTTCCTCCGTGTTTGGAGGATTTGGTGAACAGCGATTCTGCTGTGTCAAAAGATTAATAAAGTTCCGACAATTTCAAAAAAAAAAAAACTAAAACAATGTGAGAGTATGCATCATGTAATGTCCAGTTCGTCAATGGCTTCGATGCTGGCCCTGGCAGCATCAGTCCTGTTCGCTTGAACTTATTAGCCGTACCGTTTCAGTGAAGTAACAGTGTTTTTCTCTCACAACAAATCAGTATCAGCCATTTTTCCAGCTAGGTGAACAACATCAGCCGTTTTTCCGGCCAGCGAAGCACGTCAGCTCTTCCCATCGTCCAAATTAAAAGCCGAAACCAATTAAGCACTCAACCAACCCAACATCACATCGCAGGTACTACCTGCAATCGCAATGGCTGTGGCCTCGGCGGCGTTGGACGCGGTGGTGGCTCTCTTCTCGCTGATCATGGCCGTGGCGGCGCCGCTGTTCGACTCCCAGGTCGTCCTCCCGCTGAGCCTCTACCCGGCGCTGCTGGTGGACGTGTTCCGGTGGTTCATCGCCGAGTTCGACAACTACAGTGTGGCCGACCGGCCGCCTTTCCTCCGTGGCCTCGTCTGGCTCGACCTCGCCTTCCTCTGGCCGGTCAGCATCGCCAACCTCTAGGGCATCCTCGCGCGCCGACGCTGGTCTGCCACCACCTCCCTCATGGCCGGTGTCTACATGCTCACCTACCTGGTAACATATATAACCATCCCGGGCAGGCCTCCTATGTCTATATCTTCCTGTTTGATCCAAGATGCTAAAAATTAGCAATGTGTTTATATGCAAATTAGAAGGACCAAAACATGAATTGATTTCAAAACTAATTGTATAAGCAGTGACTAATTGTTGAGACGAATCTATTAATCCTAATTAGTTTATGATTAGCTCAGATAATGCTATAGTAAATATGGGCTAATTAGAATTAATAGATTTGTCTCACTAATGAGCCACCGCTTATGCAATTGTTGAAATTAGTTCACGTTTGGTCCTTCTAAATAGCATCCAAACATGGTGTTAATTTCTAGCAACCAGGATCCAAATTGAAGACATTCGTCATCTGAATATGCGTTGACTATCTTGTTGCTTTCTTACAATCTTCTAATATATATTTCATTTACTTTTGTTTTGTTTCAGTCTGCAATGTTTGGGGAGATGTTGGGGTCAGGGAAAGCAACGCCGAAGCTGCTTGGGTTATACCTTGTGTTCGTTGTCTTTGCTATATCGCGCGTGGCCTCTGCTCCTGCTCAACACCGGCGGCAGGTCCATCGTCGCCTGCACTTGCTGCGCGGAAGAAGAGGGTCTAGATCCCTGATTAGGGTATGTTTGGGAGTCTGTTTTGGGTCCAAAACCTCTGAAAAATTACATAATGTTCAGAAGTTTTTACGACACGGACTGGATTTTGCTATTTGGATTATGGTCGAGGTACTAAACATGTCTGGTTGGAGATGCCAAGTAGAATGAGATATGCCAGTCTTTTTCTTTAAAGGTGTTTGGTTAAAAGATAAAGTAGTTGGGACCATCATAGTAGGAAAATATTTTCCATTTATTTGGGATTAACCTGTCCTTCAAGGCTCCTTTGGATGAAGGGCCCCCAAAACCATGTGGATTTAAGGCCCAAAGGGGTATTTTCCTCTGCACTTGCCACCCCTATCTCCTAGGAGTGAGCATCCCCAGCTACCATTTGAAAAATGTAGGGATACAAGTCCCGGATGACCAAAATATATTTAAAATAATTAGAAAAAACGCAAAGAAGTTAGAAATGATGTTTTCTCAAGCTGAAACGTACTACCACAAATAATTTAGTACTGCTACATAATTACAATCATTTGCATAGGCTTTCAAATTATGGAAGTAAAAACAGACATGTAGCTACATCCACTTCGAGCAAAAAATAAACATAAAAGCGGCATCATGGCAATCTGATCTCTTAGCAGATTTGATGTATGGTACTTCATCTTGATGGTGTATCTTGTCTCTTCGGATGTCCTGCACACCCAAGCCTGCATCAACAAACATTTTGTCATCACAGAAGTTTGGAACAACGATGAAAAATATCTTCAGACAGTTGATGGTTAAGAAGACTGACAGCTAGTGATTTTGCACATAAACTTAAATACAACATAGGTTCATTGAACATCTAGTACAACCCACATACTACACAAATTTCCGTATGTATATGAATTAAAAATAATGCTGAGCAGACCAACATCAATTGAAACCAAACTACATAACAAATATATAAAATAGTATAATCTGCACATAGATAACTGAAAATAAGCCTGCACTTTTCACTTGATTGTCACATTATAACAGATCAGGATTGCAAAAGACATCACATTCATGGACATGAAGTGTACAATGCACACAAGCTGGTCAGCTATTGTTATTCGCAACAGCAACAAAAATGTTGGGTACAACAACTCACTAAACTCAATTTTCTGAAATCTCCCAAAAAGTCCAACAGTCAGTTGCAGCACTAGGCACTTGCAGAAGGTCAGATTTCATACTAGACTCTACAAGACCTTAGCAAACAAGAAAGAACATGTCGTGCGCAACTTATCAAGTGACAAGCTTTCCAAGATGCTATTGAAATTTTTTACTGAATTATGTTACCTCCATCTAAATAGAATCATATGGAAGAATACTGAAAAGTAGAAAGTGCCTTGCATACATAATTACCGAAACCGGAAGTTTTTAATCAAGATGCATTCAGATTCCTATTTCTAGAAAAGGTGTAGCTTTAAAATGAATAACGGTATGTGCTACAGCTACATCTACAGCTATTAGTGACTAAATTGATCTAGCCCAGCTGCAAATTCTCAGGTGATATTTTAAAATTAATAGTGGTATTTCCCATTACAACTATTAATTATATTACAAAACTAATATTTGGCTTCTACCATTACAAACAATTTCTCAAATTGATTATATTTGAAATAGTTTTCTGAAGGAATATAATGTTCTGAATAGCCATTTTCTGTCAGAGAGCTACCATACTATGCTAGAAAAAAAACTCTTTAAAGAAAATCTGAAGCAAGAAAAATATTTTCTTGTGATCACAAGCAACAGTGCATACGCTGTCACAGCTCACGTGACAGTCCTAGTAATGGTTCATGCCCAAAGGACGTATGGCGGCGCTGGAGGCGCGCTCGGCAGAGGATGCTCGCGACGATCTCCACCTCTGTCGTCGCTTTCACCTGCTCCACCACGTATGGCGGCACGCTCGTCGGCGAGAACTGATTGTCGCTGCCCCGCCGGGCCGTCTCCCCCGCGGGCGGCGGCACGGGCGATCAGTGACTCCTCGTGGTGGAACCGGGCATGCGCATGCTGCTTCGCGATGAACACCTCGACCGCCTGCCCAACCGCCTGCCAGAACGCCTCTTCGTCGTCCGTCACCAGCTCCACCGGCGCCGCCGCCCCCGCCTCTGCTGCCACCGCCGCCGACCACCGTTGCCGCCGCCTGACGTTCTCCGACTTGGCTCGGGGCAAGCCGCTCTCGTCGTGCTCGTACGGCCTGCTGCGCCGTCGCGGATATTCTCAGACATGGCCCGCCGCGGGGGCTGGGCGCGCACCGTCTTCACGTACACCGCCTTCTTGTCCTCGAACACCACCTCCTCCCCGGAGGGCTCCTCATCGGTGATCGGCGGCAGCGGTGGGCCCTGGAACGCGTGTTGAGGGGCGTCGCCGTTGGAGCTCGGAGAGCCGGAAGGGTCCGCGAACGACGCCGAGGATGAGGCTGTGTCGTGGTGGAAGAGCAGGGCGAGGGAGATGAAGATGACGTTGAAGGCGAGGAAGTAGCAGAGGCGCGGTGGGGCGAGGAAGGAGGCGGCGAAGCGGAGGAGGATGGAGGGGAAGTCGTAGAAGGCGAAGAGGAACACGGCCAAGATAACGAGCTGCGCCAACAGCGCGGTCCTGCCGTCGGAGGCAGCCATCGATGGCAGTCGTCGCAGCGGCCCTTTTGTTGGCGGGGGTTTGGCCGTTTGGGGGAGGCGAAACAGGATGACACAGCCACACAGGACTGGACTGCACTTTATGCTTCAAGCGCTCGGGCCGCAGAGCTCGCATGCCGTCAATGGCGGACGGGTTCCGTTGGCGCGAGCGGGACGGAGAGCTATTTGAACCAAATCGCGGACGTTTTGATACCCTGGGAACGAGAAACCATTCTCTGTCAGTATTTCTCACGGAATGCTCTCAATTTTGTGGTCACGGGATCTAGTAGTGTCGATATGTTTTTTTAATATATAAATAACATATTTTTATACCAATTATTTTTATACATACGTATTTCCTCTGTCCATAAATGTTTATCATCACGATTTACGTGACGATAACTTTGACTCAATTTATAAAAAATACATACAACATTTTTATCTCCGAATAAATGTATTAAAAAACTAGATTCAAATATCTATCTAATGATACTAATTATGGCCTCGTTCGCTTGTCTTAAATTTGGGCTTGTATATAATATTTTTTTAATATATATTTTTTAGTCAAAAACCGGTGAATTGCCATATCATAAATATTAATATTTTTTAAAATAACCAAACATTTGAGAAAGCGAAAAAACAAGACATTTAGGAACAGAGGAAGAGTAATGCATTAGACCTATGGATATCTATTTATGGTTCGATATTTTTGTAACAACGAGCTGGTGGTCTTGTTAATATGGTATACTGCTTTTATCCTAAAAAAAATGCAACTATGAATTACATGCCACGTAGGATGGTTCACGTTTAACCAAAATTCTAGTTAAATGATATTCACATTCATGGCTCCAGATTAATTTGTTATAAAATATATATTGTAATTAACTTAATAATATTTATTTGGTGTTATAAATATTGATATTCTTTTATCTATAATAATTGATCAAATTTATAAGATACTAAAACATGACAGTGCGCTATAATTGCATTCATGGAGTATTGGCTTATATTGTTAATTCTGTAAGAAATTTACGCGGGAACCTTTCCAACGGCGTTCAGTGCGACGGGGCTGAAAAAAGAACCTTTCCAAAAAAAAGAAAAAACATAAAAAATTATATATAAAAAAAGAAAACGTTCCACGTGAGTGCGTGTCCGCTCCAGACGACCAGACCCCATTCAAACCCAAACTCCTAGTCGAGTCTCAAGATCCCATCCCATTCCCGGAGCAGTCGCCGCGCAAGCCCTAGCAGATCCGCCCGGCGAGCGCGGGGCGCGGTGGGTAATGGGCATCGTCTCGGCAGCGGCGGACGCGCTTGTCGCGGTTTTCTCCCTGACCATCGCCGTCGCGGCGCCGCTGATCGACGCGCAGTCCGTCCTCCCTCACACCCTCTACCCGGCGCCGCTCCTGGAGCTCAAGCGCTGGTACGCCGCCGAGTTCGGCGACTACCTCGTGGCCCAGCCCCCCTGCTTCTTCCGCGGCCTCATCTGCCTCGAGCTCGCCTTCCAGTGGCCGCTCGCCGTCGCCACGCTCTACGGCATCCTCACCCGCCGACGCTGGGCCGCCACCACCTCCCTCATGGCCGGCGTCGCCACCCTCACCTCCATGGTAAAGTCGTCTTTCCCCTCTCCCTTGTAGAACTGTAGTGGAGCCACAAGTGTAATTCATGCATGTCTGGAATTTCGTGAAACTGGTGTCTCACCGGTGCAGCTCTGCCCCAGATCCAAAAGACTACCATGGTTGATCCTCAAATGCACACTTAAAGTCAGTTCAGGTTGATGTGGAATCCAAACATAGTTTCTCGTGCGCTGATTGAATATGATTGGCCGGTTGTTCAAATGAAATAGTGCTGTAAAAGGTTTTGTAGACCCATGGGATTCAGAGTTACTTCCATAATTGTTTTGGCATACCAATTGCATTTCCTGTTGTTGGTGATTCCCAGAATGTCAAGCTATTGCCAACATTTTAAATTTTGTTCTCTGAACCATGGTTCCTTTGAGCTCGAATGCGCTATGGATATGTGACGTTTATATTCAGGTTAAATCTCAACTGCAATGTCTCAAATTAAAAGATAGGAGGAACAAAAATTATTTCATATCACAATATCAGATACCAAAACATTGCAAATATTAAGTATTGACTCCCTGGAGGAATGACTACCTGTTATGCTAGATGTGAGCACATTATTTTTTTTTCTTTGCAGTAACAATGTGATCTTGTCATCGTATATCCTCCATTTAATTTTAAAATCCACTTTAATTGTTGCAGTCTGCAGTTCTTGGTGAGATGTTGGGTTCAGGCAAAGCAACACCAAAGTTGCTTCAGATGTATGTTCCTTTTGCTGTTTTTGCTGTCATTGCCATTCTCCGTGGACTTTGCTCATGCTCTGGACGCACTACTGCTGGTTCATCACTTGGGCCTTCTGCCCGGAAGAAGAGGGTCTAGATCAGGTTTGTCCTCCCCACATTTCAGCAACTGTTTAGTATTCTATTCCCGCATATGTTTGGAAAAACTAGATGATATTAGTTCAAAATTGGTCCAGGAAGCGTTGTTTGCTTATTCATCGCTAGCCCTTATTTTGCTTTTTTAACCCTTTTGACCCTGTCCTGCAAAATAAGATATAGTTTTTATCTATTTGACAGATTAATTCAACTATTTATTTAGGGATTGATGTGTTCTTGCATATGTTTGACACCATGTTTCATTGTCTGTTTGTTTCTGAAAACCTATCCTAACCAATTCTAGACCAAGTGGATAGGTTGATCCCCCCTATAACACCACTCTGTACTGTTGGCCTATCCACATTTTCCATGCTGACAAGTGACAGTTAGGACACTGCTCTCAGTAGCATGTTTGTTTGGGGTTTTATGAGACCATATAACATTGTGTTACCGGCTGCAAATCTACAAAACCTGGCCACCTGGGTTATATACGTCACAAGCCATAAAATCTGGCATTTTTTAAGCAGCAACCATAAGCTGTAGATTTCTCTCAAATGTAATCTTATTATTCATACTATGTCAAAGCACTCTAATTGCCACTGGGCTACTCTACAGTTCAGTTTCATAGATGTCGTGTCTATGAATTTACAGCTACAAGCCTACAACAGAAAGACTATACCTGAACCTAGAGAGGAAGACAAAGGATTGTAGTGCTGTCTTGTTGACTACCATATAAATAGATCCACAGAGTTACTAAAATGAAATGTTTGGTTATATATACCACTAGTACTCTGCAAAACTGCTGATACTAAATATGCTCAAAATATGTGAGTTATGTCCAGTTTAAACCTCAACTGCAGTGTCATAGGCAAAAGAACACATAGGCTTCTCTCTACACTATATAATCAAATCACTGCAATATGCAATATCCATTACTTTTGATGCTATCATGTTCTTGTATTGTTTTTCCTTGATTTGTTCTTTTAAAAGTTTGCCCTTATCATTGCAGGGACACTTGGAGAATTTTTTGGTTTCAGACAGAGTGGAGCCAAGATTTTGTCAGGATCAGGTTCCTATCCCCGGTATTTAGCATATATTAGTGGCAATTTCTGTAGGATGTGTTCATTTCCCTGAAATGTGATATTTATCTTGCCTTTATTTTCGTTTCCCCCTTCAATTATGTCTTGCTAACTAAGACATTGTTTTGTTTACTTGACGAGCTGATTCAACTCTGGCATTGTTTCATAAATCCTTGTTCTTTGTGGTCCTTATTGCAGAAAATTCTAGGTTTTATGGCATTGGCAAATCTTTTGTTAGACAAAGGAAGCTTTATTTCGAGATGAAATACAATCGTGTGTCTGCTTCCATAGCCGTGCTAACCAACCCAATCCTTGATGCACTCCAAAGCTGTGCTTCATTTTTCATGTCGTATTTCAAGGATTTACTTTTAGGCATACTGGTCGAGATAAGCACTACAGCAGAGGAAAGTGTCGATCCATGACTCCATTGATGTTGTGCATATCATGAGTGGACCCTGACTCCGTGACTGCTGAATTCAATAGTGATTTCTTCCGCGACCTGCTGAAACCTGAACCAGATAGGCATCCTAAGTGGAGGATATTGGCCGTCGAAAGAGATTTGGATGCATTAATTGTCTATTCTAGAACTAGTTCTATAACAGGCCCTGTATTGCTTGTTTGACTAACCAAAAACTAGTGGCCGATTATTTATGGTTTTGCGTGATAATTAGGTAACCGTGACTGGGATATGAATATATCATCACATTTCGTACCTGTACCTGATGCATGTTCATCACAGGAACTAGATCCAATCCTCTGTTCCATACCCATCGTTCAACCTAGTTTATTTATTTTAATTAGGGGAAGATTATATACAATTGGGTGTTTCCTTTTCGTACGATGCTCAATATATTTCTTTTCACCCTCTCCTTTAATTCTTGAGGTTTCGACCCATCTCTCTCCGTATATAGGGGAGGATCCGATTCCAAATCCCCATCCTAACCTTCTCCATCTCCAACGACCCTTGTAAGAGACAACGCAGCAGGAACGCACATGCATTGTATAAGTTGACGTAACTCACAACTTTATTTTTATTTTATTCTATGTATAAATTAAGGAATTGTGAGTTACTACGAGACAACTTAAAAGATAATAATCGTTCATGTTATCTATTATATCATCTTATATAAGATTGCCTATGAGACAACACCAATATATTTACTCTCAACACACCCATCATTAGTAGAGGTAGGACCACACTCTTTGGCTATTTCGGAGTGGGTTCTTTATTGCTCAATTCCACTTTTTTTAAACTCTGCTTCATGTTTTTTGTTAAATGGGTGTAGCTCCACAAATTTTGTTTCAGCAAAAACAACATTGGGCTGAGAGAGCACCTAAAAGGATGCTCCAGAAACTTCAGCTTTTTTATAGCTACACCATGGTGTAGTTTCTGGAGTAGAATTGGTAGAATTGTCCCAAACAAACCCTTAGAGTTGTACCAGACAGTCAAAATATAATTAGATTATACTCCCTCCTTCCTATAAAAATATCATTCTAATTTTTTGAGAAGTCAAACATTGTTAATTTTGACCAGATATATATAAAAATATTAATATTTATGATATATAATTAGTATCATTAGATAGATCGTTAAATATATTTTTATAGTAAACTTATTTAGAGATTCAAATATTGTTAATATTTTCCGTAAACTTAGTCAAACTAAAGAAAAGTTTGACCACTACGAATCTCATAGCGACATTTTTTATGGAACGACAAAGTGAGTAGTGATGAGCTGATAAGAATCACTTTTCATTTACACTGTGAGTTAAAAGCTAAAAGAATTACTTTTTCATTCAATCACCATTAGAATTATTTCTCGCCTGCTCTTCGTCATACCATTCTCTATAATCACTTAACAAAAGAAAAAAAATGAGTAAAGTTTAAGAATCAGAAAATAGAGCACTACTAAATTGGTCCGAGTTACCTAGCATAAACGAAACCTGCTTGGCTTTCGTTACCTAATAAACGAAACCTTGCTTTTAACCACTGTCCCTTAAATCAAATCCGTCTTTAACAAAAATATCTTTCGTGCTACTGGGACCAGAGATAATAATGTTTACCTCTCACTCAGGTCAAGTCCTTGTCCATATACTCTGACTGAAATATCTTCTCTATGTAACATAGAGGGCGTGCAAGCACGCATGCACACCAAGTAGTTAATGCAAGATACACATCGTATATCCTCACTATTCTGAGGGAAGTGGAGTAGTAGTTAGGAACATCTTGAGTTGATTGTAAACTATTTGCTGTGCGTGGTTATAAAATAAAAGAGAAGGGATGAATCCAATCCAGTTTTCTAGATAGGATGTCTTCTGTGTTAAGTTTGGGGATAGAGTTGTTCATGCTCTGTGTTTGGTCGAAGGAATGTGGATAAAGATGATATATTATCGTTTCCGATCCATTAGACATGTATTAAGTGGGACCAACATGTCATTCTTTCTCGCCTTCTTTTTTCTTCTCTCGCACAACAACCCAACTGTAGCAGCTCCGCTTGCAGCACCAGGCCCTAGTCTTGACCACTTGTTTGTCGGCGCCCTGACCCTAGTCCACAACGCCCTCACCCATCCGCTGTTGTCCCTCGCCCCGGCACCAGCCGCCTTGCCTGCCCCGCCCACAGGGCCGAGCGAGGCTGCCCACACGTGCTAGGGTCGTCCGGGGCGAGGCCTAGCCCGCGTTGTGATCGTGCTCGCCCTTTCTCGCCAGTGCGGCCTTCCCCGGACCATGTTGGGACATATCACTCTCGCCCTCCCCGCACCACCTCCCCTCCGAGGCTGGGTGAACCGCCAAGAGGGACGTGTAGTCGTGGGCAACAGAAGAGGAGAGGAAGAAAAGCACAAGACAAGCAATGGAAGAGAATGGTGTCGGTAGGGGACAACTCATACCTCAATTTTTGAGGGACGCCTATGGACAGTATCTTAGGAGAATATTCTTTTCTAGGGGTAGCTCCATCGCACTTCCCCGTACCAAACACCGGACAGACTTTGTCTCACCCTTCCCTCTAACCAACCATGCCCTAGATAATTTCCTTGTAGTTAAAACTTGGTCACCATTCCTAGCAAACCTGTTCGGTCTCCCTCCTCTCTCCTAACCGGTGATCTTGCCAGTGGACAGAGGAGCGATGACCCGGTCCTTTTTCCTTCATAGTTTTAGATTAGATTTGTGGATCCTTATGGATGTAGAGTTTGGTTCTAATGTGTCATCGATGAGGTGGTGATGACGATGGTACTTTGGAATAAGGTCTCTCTGGTCTCTCCCTACCTAGACGACGTTCGATCTAGTGTCGGCGAAGGATCCATAAGAGTTTGGTTTGTTAGATCTGCCGATCTTCATATCTTGGCAGTTGGTGTGCTTATCAGAAGGAGTTGGTTGGCTTTCGGTGAGGCAATCTCGACCTCTTTTCGTCTGTTCTACCGGAGGTTCGGAATCTTCGACACCCTGTTTTGATGGTGAATGATTGTAAGCCTATGTTCCTTGCCGATATTGTTTCAGTGAATTTTATATATCGTTGTCAACAACGAGTGGTTTTTGCGGTCTTCAAAGTCATGTTTCGCAAGAGTGTTTGCATGTGGCCCTTTTCTTTGCTGTCTTTGTGGTGCGATCTTCAAGCTTCGGCAAGCAGTAGACGTTCAAAAGAGGATGACCAATTTGGTTTTTGATATACTCTTATATTTTAGAGGTCGTTTTGTGTGGCATTTTATCTATCGTTTATACAAGGCTTTGTTTTTCTTGAAATATATCAGACTCGACACTCTTTTGAGTGTTTTTATCAAACAGAAAACTTGGTTACCATTACCAGCGAGCTACAGAACCACATATGTAACGGTGAATTGCAGTGGCACGTTTCTGGATAGATTGCCAACGAATTGAGCGGTTGGGAAGGTAGCCATGCATGCTAATTCAGGATATCATCCTTTTTTTTTTG